AAGTAAAATTAAAAATGACTGCTTTGGTAATATTATAGAATATTTTATTCATTTAAAATAATATAACCATTCAACATAAAAAAGATCTTTTAACACCCCTTTTAGTCTTGTTTTAAACCTAAATGAATCTTTTTTGTGATTTGTTAATTTTTTGGTTAAAAATTAAAAAGAAAGATTTTACTTCCTTCTAAGTAGAATGCCAATAGGTGCCATATTGAAAGAAGGACTCTTTCTTTAGGGAGTTCTCTTGCTACTATCTGTTACAACATTTGATCCAGGTCCCTAAAAATACGATGAGTTTATGGAGATTTTCAGGGAATGCGTTTTAAAAGAAGTAATTTTTTATTATTTAATTCGTTGTAAAACAATATTACCAAAAAAGTGCACACGTTTTTTTTTTCTAACTTAAAATAAAAATTGTATTTTACACGTATGCACTTAGTCATAGAAAAGAAACTAAAAGAATAAAATTATAAATAGTGGAATTCAATCAGACAACAGGTTAAAACTGCCTAGAGCATTTTTTGTAGATTAAAAAGAAAATTATCTTCCTAGGGCAATAAAAATTAAAAGAAAAGAAACAGAAGCCTTGCAATTTTTAAGAGTATTTTTTTTACTATTTTTAAATCATTTTTTTTTTTTTTTGGTGCGTAAGGCCAAGGGGAAGAATCATAAAGAAAGCGTGAAAGATAAAAAAAAGTTGTAAATATTGTTTATTTTTTAGTTTATTTCGCGTATTTTAGCTTTAATTACTAAGTGCGACAGTAACACCTACGCACAATTGACATACGTGCCTTTTTTAAAGTTTTGCATTGATCATTGCCACGAATTCATACATAACAAATAAGGTCTTAAAATAGATTGTGTTGAATATGGTGATTAATGATGACGCTGATGATAAATTCTAAGATTCAGGTGTAAATAAATAAAGGGGGAGGTAAACTACATTTACACTACAAATCGTCCAGTTTTTTTTCTTTTTTAAAAACAAAATTATTATAGGTTTTTTTTTTACCATTTTTAAATTACGAAAAAATACATTATTCAAAAAAGGCAATTATGTTTGCTACATTAATTAAAATATAACATTCGCATCGGTAAAACTATGGCACAGCTTTTTAGATATCATAATATCTTATTTATTTATGTTTTAAATACATAAATATTTATTTATCTACATCATGTATATAGACTTCGTGAGACCTGGATATTGTATATGTAAGGAACATGTTTTGCATAGTCACCGCCTGTCAGTCTGTCTGTGAGTCTCGCTTTTGGGGCCTGATCACGTCTGTTTTATAAAAAATTTTTTTTTTTTTTTTTCATCGCGTCGACGGGGGAATAAAACAAGTCGGCAAGGTAAGAATTTAAAGCTGTTTCTAGTTTTATTTTTTATTTTTTTCGCTGCCGAAATCTCCATCGCGTATTAAAAAAAAAAAAAAAAAAAAAATTCCGTACAAGTGAGATGAGATCTCGCCCGGGCGATGTTGAACTTCTCTCAGCCTGTATGCGTGTGTCTGGACCGAAGAAAATGAGAAGAAGAAGAAGAAGAAGAAGGTGGAGAAGGGTTTATCCTTTTTTTTTTCCTCCGAAAAGGAAAAGGCGGCGGTTGTTAATGCTCTTATTTCTCTCTTTCTTTTTAAACAAAACCAAAAGTGGACATACCACTGCTACTACTAAAATGTAAACAACTCAAGTTGGATGATTTTTTTTTTTTAGTTTCCGATATTTAGAAATCGAAAAAAAACAAAAAAAAAACGAAACTTTTATTGATAGTGACGATCAGAAAAGAGTGTAAAAAAAAAAAAAAAAAAATGTTGGTTAATTTATTTACACTGAATGAAATAAATAATAGATTTACTTTACTTTTATTTTAAAATTAATAATTTTCCCTCGCATTGAAAAGCAAATATTACATACGTGTGTGTGTGACCCAATGTCTTGGGAGCATGCATTAGAAATGCAATTTATTACAGATTCAGTATCATTTACCCCACATATATAAATTATATATTGAATACTTACCTAAGTAGATAATTGTTTGGTGCTTATTATTGAAAATATTTTATAGTTTAACTTAAATTGTTTATTTATTAAGAAAAATCAAGGAAAAGTAAAGCAACATGTCAAAAACAAGTCTTTTAAAAATAAAAGTAAAAAACCAGATGCCTTTCTTTTTCTTCCTCGTTTCTCTATACACAATATACATATTTATTTAAATAAATATCAGGATTTTTTTCTTTGTGTATTTCAGGATTTTTATTGTCTGAATAAATAAAGAATGAAGTTTTACAAAAAAAAAAAAAAATTAGAAAAATCAAACTTGTTTAAAAAGTCCAATAATTTATTTACCTAAATTAAAAATGAAATATTTTAATTAATACAATGTGTAAGTAAAAAAAAAAAAATAATTATAACATTTTTGTTTATTTTTACGTACCCATTTACAGCGGTTTCATGCTTAGCAATTTTTTTTAAATTTAAAAGAATAGATATTTTACTAGGCTTTCATAAAAGAAAATGTAGAGAACATTTTAAGAAAGAAATACAGAAAAATCTAAATAAATTACAGTTTTTTAGTTTGTTTGTTTTTTTAATTAGAGCACCTATCAATTTAAAAAAAAGGCGTGCGTTAAAAATACCTGCAAATATGCATTTTCGAATCTAGTGCAATGCTAAAACTAAAACATTTAGAAGGTAAGAAGTAAAATAAAAAACGTAAAACGAAACATATATATATATAAATATATATATATATATATATATATTATATATGCAACAACAGTGTATATTATCATGCACTGCAGTTTAAAAATGTACGGACATGCATTCACAGCTTCTTTGCTGGTAGTGGTGGCAGTAAGCAGTAAGTAAATGGTAGGTATATCATAGTGTACGTAAGAATTCAATAATTGTAATATTGTATATTAAAGTGCGGTGGGAGTAGTTGCTCGGTGGATTTCAGGGTGGGTGCGAAAATTTTGACATATTTTTCACAATGAAACGTTGGACGCGGTCGTTTTCTGGTAATAGAGATTCGTTTTCATTTTTTATTGTTTTTTTTTTTTGTGTGTGTAGTTGTGTAATATTACACAACACAATGTGTGTTCAGTGTTTTATGGACGTTTTTCTCTCTCTCTCTTTCTCTAGTCTCTATTTTTATTTTCTCAAACATTTAACTCGAAGTAACGTAAAAATGCCTAAAGGTAACATAATTGAATTGTTAAAAACAAAGTATTTTTTACACACCCATACACACGCACCATCATAATTATTTTACATATTCAATTTTTATTACTTTCAAATTCAAATGTTATTTTTTTAGTGGATACTCGTGTTTGAAATAGACACCCAGATTTTATAATTGAACAAAAAATCAATGTGTATTACGGACACTGTTTAAGAACGGGGCCTCTATTTCAAATACGGGTATCCACTAACATTATCGAGGTGCTGATAAGTTCTCATCCCGACCCGCTTCATACAATCTCACCAAGGAGGGAAAAAAAAAAAAAAAAAAGGAAAAGATCAAACATCAATTTTTTAGAAAGTTTTTCATGGTCTGGCTGAGAACTGTTCAGCACCCTCTCTCTTTTTAGTGTTTGGTTATTTTTAATCAAGCAAGGCAAGGGTTATGTCTACTTCTACTTTTTTTTTTTTTTTTTTTAAAGTCAGATGTGAATTTTTTAAAGGTAATTCTAATTGTGTTTAGCCTGCGCAAAGTCCTAAGGAAAGCAAAAGGACATTCTTGTTCACACAATACAATAATACTTTTATTTATTTATTTTTTTCGATAAAAAGGTGTCGATTTATCGATATCTAAAAAAATAATAGATACGTAGGATTATATTTGGTTTGTAAAGTTTTAAATTAGCAATAAAGTACATTGCACTTTTTTTTTTTTTTTTGAACAATCTAAAACAGAAACGGTGTCTTTTTGAAGTGTTCAAATGAAGTCAAGTTTTGCACAAGGCCACTCTTGTGAAATATAGATTCAACAAACTCATTACGAATAACAGCTTTCGAGTTTAATGTACCGGACCATCTCATTCGACAAACAGGAGTTTGCACCCTCTATCTCTCTCTTAAAAAAAAAAAAAAAAAAAAAATTAATTAATCATGTAGATACGAAAGTAATTAATATTATTTTTTTTTATGTCTTTTTCATTGTTATTTTCATTTATTTGTTTATTTTAACTGTGGTTTTATTTTTTTTATTCTTCCACTTAGTCGTATCCCGCTATTCTTTTGTGTTGTTGATGCTTTTTTTTTAGCTTTCACTTTAATTAATTGTTTGTTTACTCAGTCAGTAACCCTTGAGCGATCTCCTCAAGTGCTTGGCGTGTGTGACGTCCTCTTCTGTGTAATAAAATTAAAAAAAAAAAAAAACTCATTTAAATGAAATGCAATCTGCATTAAATTGTTTGTCTCGGATCCGCCCTCGCCATGCACACAAACAATTTAAAACAGAGGATGCCATAAAAAATATTGATAAACAAGTTACAACACAGTTCTCTTTAATTAAAATTACATTTTTTTACTGGTCTCATAAAACAATTCTAAAATCTAATGAATCATTGACTCATTGAGTAATAGTTTTTAATTTCACTACTGTTTTTGAGGGAATTATTCTCTCTTTTGTTAGCTGTTTAATTTTATATTAACCCTTAGATTTCTTAATGTCGAATTTTGTGCATGATTGTGCTTTTTGATTCATTTGTTTTCTTTGCAGGTTATTTAAAGCCAGAAAATATTTTTAGATTATAAGAATTTTTTTTTTTTTTTTGAGTTAATTTATTTAGTGATTAGTCGTACTAATTAACTTATTATATTAGTAAGTCTTAGTAATTAACTTATAGCTGAGGGGAGAAGCAATGGATTCCTACTTTTCTCAAGGGTATTTGTGCGTAAGTGAACATAACAAATCCAAGGTAATTAGAACTCAGCTATCCAGTTAACAATTCCAAGCCAATATCTTTTACACCACCTGCACATCAAAGATTACAACACCTGGTATTCCTAAGCAGTCAATCATCCAGGTACTGACCATGTTTGATGTTGCTTAACTTCAGTGTTCATACAGGAACTGGTGTTTCAACATGATTTCGAAATTTGTATAGGGTACATAGTGAGGATCAATTTCACTACTCAGTAGCAATAGTTAACCAGGCAAGCTTGCCAAAGCACCCTCTTTAGGCCAGGTCACGTGTGTATAGGTGTTTTATTTTTTTCATTATTAAACCTGAGAATATGCTTCTTTTTTTTTTTTTTTTTTGCTTTTTTGGTTTTTTTTTTTGCTTTTTTGTTGTTTTTTTTGCTTTTTTTTTTTTTTTTAAATGCATGTTATTGATATAGAAATAAAAATTAATTTAGAGATTTTACAAAAAACATTTATTTGAAATAAGAAATTTTCAGATCTAAAATTAATTTTATTGACTAACATTTTTAGCAATGATATCAGGTGTTGCACAGACCAAGTTCTATTGTTTCTCTCATTTGATTTGCACTTCAGTTATAAGAGCAAACAAAATGCTCAACATTAATGTGACCAACTGGTGCAAGGCGGTAGGTTAGTTTTATTCTCTTTCTTTTTAGGCCTGGGTTTGTCAAAAATTTCTTCTTTTAATTCTATTAATTTTCAGGGTTACTAGTGGTTGTACACATATTTTAAAACTTAGATTAGAAGTTTATTTTAATTTATTTAGTGTCATTAAAAAAGAAAAGAAAAACTTAAAATGCATAGAAATTGAAATTTTTTTTTTTCTCGTTCAAATAATTTTGTTCTGCATAAAATGTGACTTCTTTCATTTTCTTTGAACTTATTTACCTTATATAACCATATATCATATTACTTTTGAAGACCTAATTTTGAAGCTAATTTTAAGTTGGGTCACATCATACATGAGATATAAAATTAGCATATGTACTGCTGGTCCTGACTACACTATTGACCAAACTATATATCCAATTACTTTAGTCAAAAAATACAGCTGTATTCAGAATAAATATAATTTTGATAAAACTGATGTTTAACTGTATATCCAATAATAATGAATGTAATATTCACTTATTAGCATACATATACATTGCTGGGAGAGAAGAAATGGCTTTCTATCTCTCCAAGGGTATTTGTGCAAAACACAATGGCCTTCATTGTAATTTGAATTCAACATGTAAATCCATCTTCTCACACTGATATTTGCTATACTACACACACACACACAGAGAAGATGTGTGTGTGTGTATGTGCAGATATTCCTATGGCTATGTCCCAAGATCCTTGCTGTTGACTTGTATGCAGGTCTTTAGCAGGACTGAAGTGTTGCATACACCACAGACATAAAATTTGAATGATGAGAGGCCTTCAACAAAACCATTATATATATATATATACACACACACACACCGTATATATTTCAATGAAATGTGCATAAAAGAAGGATTGCTGCCTAAACACACACACACACACACACACACACCATATGTCCATGCTTAGAATATTGCTGCCACATACACAGATAAAATGTATTGCTGGTATTTTTACGATAAAGTATTTTTATACTTTCATAGTGTTTTGTTGTGTTGTGGGGGTCACTATTTGCCCATAGTTAGGACCCTAACAGGTGCTACTACCCCAGATCAAGGTGAACCTGCAATTAACAGATGGTTCCATGCTCCACAAAACCTCCAATCTCCTGATCAGAGACCTTGCTGCCAAATGTAGTTTATCATCATACCCAGGACTTATTATGATTGTAGAATATTGATTATCCAGAAAGAATGGTTAATGGCATTTTCTCAATGTGTAGAGACTTAAAACTGTGTATACTTTGTGTCAAATTCCACCATTGACTATATAATTGCTGTCATAGTAGAACCATATCTGAGAGACTTCTTTCTGCCTTCCATCAGCATGGCTGATGCTAATCTCCAGGAGAGTGACTCCTTGCGCCTTCTCTGGTTAACATTCTTGGCTGACATGAAGTGAAGAGACTGTATCGAGTCTATTGCTAGGTCTGCTGACAAGAATGTTGGTTCACTGTGTCATGCTAGACAATTTTTTTTCTCCTGAATTGTATCTTGCATATCTATATGTCTACCATTTATTCATGCTCTGAATATTGCTGCTACATATGGTCTGGTGCTCCTGCTTTATATTTAGAGATTCTTGATAAAATCCAAAGAAGAATCAGCAATATTATTGATCCTGACCTGGCATCTCAGCTTCAGTCACTTTCCCACCACTGTAATGTTGCTTCCCTGTACTTTTTCTTTAAATATAGGGACCTTCACAAAAAAAAGCAATACTTAAGGTTTAAAATGAATTTTTAAAAATCTTTCTTGAAGCTTTTATTTTAGTTTTAATTCCAAATAGAGTAAATTTAATATTTCCAACAAGCAAAATATTTGCTGTATTTCAAAAACTAGTTTAAATTGAATGGAAGAATTTTTTTTTTTTTTTTTTTGCTAAAATTAGTGTCCTTTTTAGTCATCTTTCATTGCAATATAATTCTTTTTATTAAAAAATCTTCCAAAAATAGAATATACTTTTCTGAAACATTATTTGAAGAATATTAGCTGATTTAAAGTATAATTAATCTAATTTGAAACAAATATTATTTACTTTAAGTTTAAAATAATGAAGAAATACATTTCATAATCATAAGTAGCTGTGTTGGCGTGGTGACCGATCTAATGTTGTTTTATGGAGACTTTATCTGTAAAAAATTGAAGAAAATGACATGAGTACTTTTTTTAGATAATTTTTAAATGCTCAGTAATCTTAAAAATTTAGGTAAATATTCTTCATAATCTAATGATTTATTGAATTTTAGAAATTTTGGCTTTAAATTTACTGTTGCTCTTATTTTCTGATAATGTTGTGTATGGACACCTGTACTTAGAAAAATCGGCAAGTTTACACACATACAAAAAAATTCAAAATGCTTTTAAAAATATTAGTGTTTGATGATTTGTATTATGCTTTTAATTTATGATTAGCAAATGTGTTTTTCACTTAATAATAACATCATCTAAAAGGATGAAATTAATACAGAATTTTAAGATTAAAAACTTAATGAACTTTTCTAATAAAAATTAAAAAAAAAAAAAAATGAAAGCAGCTCTTGTAAAAATTTTCTTAAGACAATAGTGTCCTTAATAAATCTTATTTATAAAAACAGTTAAAAACTTTTCTAATTAAATAATATCATAGTTTTATTGCATTTTTTATTTTATGATTCAGAGCAGATTTTCAGTAAATTCTCCAAGGAGTCCTACTTCTAACTAATATAAACATGAAGACGCTGGAATTTTAATTTCTTGAAATTTCATAAGATTAAGTAAGTGAAGATAACAAATGTAAAAGAATAAAAAGAAATCTCTATCTATCTATCTATCTATGTGTGTGTGTGTGTGTGTGTGTGTGTGTGTGTGTGTGTGTGTATATATATATATATTTTACCAAGATTTTCTAAAAATAAATTAAAAGTACCGTAATTTCTTGAAAATAATACCCACCTCAACAAATGATCCAAAAATTAAGAAATATATCTATCCCAATGTATAATGTGCATCCATAAATTTTGTCAAAAGAAAACAAAAAATAATTATGAAGACATTTTGTCGACCTTGACATTAAGAATAAAATCAAAACTAAGCGGCTAAAATAATGTTGTTAATTATCATGTGGTTTTCTTGATAAATATAACATTTTATTTTACTGCTAAAATGTCATTAGAATGTGCAAATTTTAAACAAAAATTAATAGAATTAGCAGAAAGAATAGGAAACCGAGCTGCAGCTAGAGAATATCAGTTGAATGAGGCTAACTAAACATTTATGGAGAAAGTATAAAAATGAACTAAAAAAGTGTAAATCAAGTGCCAAAGCTATAGATAGAGGAAGAAAAGCTCAATATCCAAGTATGGAACAAAGTTTAGTTGAATTTGTGAAAGAAAGACAATCAAGTGGATGTTCCATAAGTAATGTGGAAATAAGGATGAAGGCAAAAGAACTTATTTATTCATGTATACTGGAAACAGATTTAAAGCTTCAGCAAACTGGTGTTTTCTTTTTATGAAGAAGTTTGATATATCTATCGGGAGAACAACATTCATAGCCCAGTCTGATTACTATGAAGATAAGCTTTTGAATTTTCAGTGTTTTGTTAATCAGCTAAGAAAAAAAGCACAGCTATCCTTTAGGACTGTATTAGAAATGCTGATCAAACACCCTTGACTTTTGCCTTGTGTTCAAATTCTGGAATTCAAAGGGGTGAAGTCAGTTCCAATCAAAACAACTGGAAATGAGAAGAATAGGTTCACAGTCCTGCTTGGTGCATATGGTGATGGTAAGAAGATGCCCCCTTATGTAATTTTTAAATGGAAATCTCTGCCAAAAAACATTGAGTGCCCAGCTGTTCTGATAGTAAAATGTCATGAAAATGGCGAATGGATGAGAATCTTATAAAAGACTGGCTGCTGAATGTTTGGTGTAAACACAGAACAGAATTTGCAAGAAGTAGACATATGTTGGTTCTTGATGCATTTTGTTGCCATAGGATGCCTTGCATGAAGAATATACTTCAGGAGAAGAAGACTGATTTTGTTATTATACCAGAGAGAATGACTGGCCAACTTCAAGTAATGGATGTTGTCTGCAACCATCCATTTAAACAAGAGATGCATAAAGAATGGAATGACTGGAGATTTTCTGGTGTTCCCAATTTTACTTCTGGTGGCAACAGGAAGAAACCAGAGTTGGAACTTATTGTAAAATGGATTCAGGAATCTTGGGATTCCATCTGTGAGAATGCTATAAAGAGAGGTTTGATAAAGTGTTGTCTCACAACAGCCATGGATGGCTCTGAAGATGACATCCTTTGGCAAGAGAATGAAGAGGCTGAAGATAATTTTGAACAGAACAAAGATAATATTGTGAATGATTTGTTTAATGACAATTTAGATATTGATTCTATAATAGAAAGTGGTGGTGATGACGATGAAAATTAAAATTTCAATAAATTGTTAACTTGATATCCTCTTTTCTTTGAAATTGGCCTTTTTATAGATTTTTTTTTCGCCAAATAAAAATGTG